TTGTGCTAATTATTATTATTTTTTTTTTATTTTTTTTTTTTAGTTAGGAAAGCTTTATTGGTCACACAGTTTGCAAACAGGGGAGACATACCCTTAGACAGCAAAACAACAGCACGCTGCTCCAGGAGAACTAAGAAAGGGGGCTATCTTTTTTTTTTTCTAATTTTCTTTTTGTTTCTTTTTATTTTTTTCGGATGTGCATCATATTTCAAATTCTGTATACATCACATCATGTTCACCACCCGAACACTAGTTATAGTGCATCCCCTCACATGTGACCCTAATCACCCCTTTTGCCCTCCCGCCTGTGCTATTTTTTAAAATGAAGTTTAAATGAAATGTAAAGAATTGGTTGACCTCTCTTTGCCCAGCCTTATGGATATTGTATTATATGAGATGCCTGATATAAGCTTCCTAACCACACCTACCTCTCTCTTTGTTCTGGCCCTCTGAGGACTGAGGCAAACATAGAGGGCAGTGTCCTAGCTGTCCACTTGGCCCCTGCGTCTCTGCCCATTCTTAACCCAGATCTGGTGCAGTACCTTTAGCGTGTAACAGGGATAATGTTATAAAAAATTTAATCATTCCCCCTGTAACTAATGTTTTCATATAGCCTATTCACCTTTAAGACTAAGTAATTGGGATTATAACCTCGCACAAAGAGAAGCAAGCTACTACCTATATCTAGTTCAAGAAACTTAGAGTTCTCAAAGTTAATTTTTAAAATTCATAGCCATCAATTTAGAGTTTTCCTAATATCCAAAAGCTCTCATTACATATCAGGAAGCAGGCCTGGAAGACTCTGACCATAGATTTTTTTTTTTAAAGATTGGCCCTGAGCTAATATCTCTTGCCAACCTTCTTCTTCTCCCCAAAGCCCCCCAGTACATAGTTGTATATTCTAGTTATAGGTCCTACTGGTTACACTATGTGGGATGCTGCCTCAGCATGGCTTGATGAGCAGTGCCATGTCGCTATGTCCGTGCCCAGGATCCAAACCAGTGAAACCCTGGGCCGCCAAAGCGGAGCATGCGAACTTAACCACTCGGCCACCAGGCCGGCCTCTGACCGTAGATCTTTGCTGCAAACTATAGGTAGTGAGAACTCAGAACCTAAAGGAAGTGTCCATCAGAGAGGAACTTTGTGGAGGGAGAGAGGGGAGAAGGAAGAACAGCCAACCACACGTCTCCTGGCTCAAATCAATCCCTAAATGACAACCTTAGAGGTGGTGGGTATTAGAAATGACGAGATCAATTTCAGAAAATCTCAAAACACTAAGGTTAGTTTCTCACCTCCCCAGGCACAAGCTGCGATAAGTGTGGGATCAGACATGGGCAGCACAAGTGGCAGAGTAGAAAAGGCTGAGAGAGAAGGCTGATGGGAACATCCTCCATCACTTCCCTTACCTCTACATGTCCTCCCTAGTTGAGAAAGTCACCAAATTCATCTACTACCCAATTTAAAAGCCTGGGTAGTGAAAAATACAGAATTGTGGATTTATATCGATACATTGACAATTGGTTTTTGTGAGATGCAAATATTTACTCAGAGGGGAGTTCTGTGACATGGTTATTCGGAGTGCTTACTTGTGGCAATAACTTGAGCCATCAAACTACCTTTCCTTCCTTCAAAATCATCCCATATCCAGATAACCAAGAACAAAGAACAATAGGATACTGATGGCTAGACTTAGTGGAGACCTTGCCAGGGTTAAAGAAACAGGATGGAATAAACCAGAAGAACCAGTTTGAACTACTTCACTGCCAGTGGAAAGGGAGGAAGAAACTACAACAGTAAAATGAAAGAAATGAAAGGATCTCTAGGGAGAGTTCTAGGAAAAGAGCATTCGTAGAACAATAGGGCCTAATGCCTTGTCCTTTTCCCCTTCTCTCCTCTGCAGGAGTAATGATGGTGAGGCACTTGACCATCCCCCTTTTTTACTGCTGTTCAAAAAGCAGCAGACAGATATGTCCAGTGTGCTGGCACAAGGGATAAGCACAGCAGAGTTGAAGTAGCATAGCATTGTAGGAGAAGGAAAGGACCATACCCATTCACAAAAGCAACAAAAACAGACACATATCTAGGAATAAACTCCAAAAGAAATGTGAAAGATCATTAGAAAGAAAACTTCACTAAGTGACAAAGAGGATCTAAATAAATGTGCCTAGATGGGAAAATTGTAAAGATGCCAATCCTTGCCAGTTGATCTACAAACTTAGTGCAATTGCAATCAAAACTTAAAAAATGGATTCAGCAGTAAATGACATTGGTATAATTAATTATACATTTAGAGAAAATTAGTGTACAAGTCTACCCCAAACCAAATATACACAAACATACACACACACTACTAGTAGGTTAACAAAGAGGCTAACTCTAAAAAGAAAACTGCGTTTGTATTAGAAGGAAATATAGGCAAATGCTTTCTCATAAACTTGGATGTAAAAGACCATCCTTATAAATGAAAATATAAAAGTCCATTAGGAAAACATTGACAGAAGCAGAGAACTTAAAATTCCTGAGAGATCAAATAAACTACCCCCCAAAAAAATCAAGGGAAGGATTGAGCGAAACCATTGCAAGCCAAGAGTTCAACATGTGACAATAGCCATATTTCAGCTGTGGCTAAAGGTTACCCTATGGACTGTGCAGCAAGTCTATACATAGCAAACTTGCTTTTCTCTCATACAAATAAGGTAATTTTGGTGAGGGAAGAAAGCAGTCCCCAGTTTCCCACGGTGCTAAGATAGCAGAGTGCAGGTTCCTAAGTTCCCTGTGGGCCAGAATGTGTCCTGAGAAGGTGCCTGGGGCAGAGGCCACCCACAGGCACCAACACACCCCTCTCTTCCAACACGCACACCACCTGTCACGGACCACCTGTGGAGTAGAGGGTCCCCGAGTCAGTTAGAGGTTCCTAGGGGAAAAGGGTTTGCTTCAGGAGGGACTTAACACCAGGAAGCCACAGAGGGGATGGTCAGCTGGGTGCATGAATGTGCCACACTGTAGCAGGAGCATGGAGTGATAAACAGTGCTGGGTTAATTGGTTATCTACCTGGGGAAAGAAGGAAAGTTGGATCACAGCTCCCACCTATCACAAAGGCCAATTCCAAGTCGATCCGTGAGACAACCCCTTAAGTGGAAAGGAATGAAGGAAGCAGGAAACCATATAGGAGACTCTTTGTAATCGGGGACTGGGGAAGGACATCCCAAGCCACACACAAAAATGAGAGACAATTAGGGAAAATAACGTTTCAGAGCAAACAGAAGGCCACGAGCAAAAACAGGAGGGAAGGGACAGAGTGTGAGGTGACACATGCAGCATGTGTAGCAGACAAGGGATTGGCCAATCCTCTGTAGGACTGTTCTGCACTGTGGTGCAGCACCCATCTTCATCGCAGACCAACCAGTGGTCACTAGAAAGCAGGCAAGAGCCAGTCCTCACCACAGCTGTCCAGCCCATAGACAAGAGGTGCTACAGTGGCACAGCATGGAGTCACTTGGTGAGGGGCTGTGCCTGTCCGAGGGTGGCACCTCAAAGTGAGGGGATTGTGGTCGAAACTGCTGAGAGTGGCACATAAGGTCCTGATGAGGAAGCAGAGTTTGAGGCTGGCTTGGCAAGAAGGGGTGGTCATATTAGCAACTCTTAGGAAACAAGACAGGGCCCCAGAGCCAGCAGAGGATGCCAAGCCCCAGCGGGCTGTCGCAGCAACCACAAGTCACCTCCTGGCCATCTAAGGCACCAGGGCCTAGGACGAGGCAGTGTCCCCGTTCCAGGTAGGAGTATTCCCCAGAGTTGGTCCTGGGACCTAACAGGCACTTATGCCCTCTGTCAGCCCAAAGAGGGGGGCGGATGGGCACAAGCAGGACAGTTGTAACCCATCTGCAACCCAAACTCCGGGAAAGGGAGAAAAAAATAAAACAAAAATTACGCTCTGTATGGAGGAGAGCAATCAGAAGGCAGAACACTCAGAGGGCGCTGATGCCCAGGGTGGCATTCCAGGGAGACCAGGAGCAGGCACCGGGCCCAGAAGCTGCACTGCCCAGAGAGCTTCTCGTCGACTGTGGTGGCCAGGGTTTTGGGGAAGAGGACCCTTGCCTGACAAATCAAAATCATGCAGGGAACCTGGTCTGGTGAGGCAGGGGCTAAGGCTTGCTGGGAAGGGTCCCGAAATGCTGGGGAGCGAGCAGCAGAAGGAGCTGCCCAGATCCATGGAGTGGTTCAGTGTGCAGGGCGGTTCTCCCTTTCCTCCAAAGGGTGTCAGCATCTTGGACAGAGGGGATGGAGACGTCTCCCAACGGATCACGGCCACGCCAAGCACCCTCAGCATCTGCCCCACCACCTCCACAGAGAGTCCACGGAGGGCTCCTCTGTCCCCTTCCTGGATCCCACCAAACGTACCGGGGACTGGGCAGAAGGGGGTTCCCCCAGAGGAAGCAGGGGCCAGCCCTTCTCTCTCTGCCAGGAATTTGGGTTTGGATCCCAAGGAAGGGAGAGGGCCTGGAAGTAGGTTTAACAGCTGCTTCACAAGAGAGAGAGAACTACACACAGCAGGCACTCAGCAAGTGGCAACCGTTATTGCTGTAACTGTGCATTGAATGCACAGGGATGGGTTGCTGAGTGGTCCCCAAGGAGGGGACCAAACCCCAAGGATGCTGACCTGCGTCTCTAGGCCAGCAGCCAAGGAAAGACGCCTTCATCGAGGGATTTCTCTGCACCAGGAGCTGGGCACTGTGCTGCCCACTTCACAGGTGTTGTCTCTCTTAGTCCTCCCAACATTCCATCTTAATTCCACCACATTCCCCTCCACGCCCCCCACTCCCGCCTCCAGCCCCTTCTGGAGGCTTATCGTGAGCACCACTGCAGCCCACCTCTCCTCCTGCCTCCTGTGAACACTGTTAAGCATGCATCTGTCGGGGAGCAAAAGCCTCGGTTAGCGCTGATCATGTATTATTGTCGTTCTCTCCACGCAGACCTTAAACTCAAGGACAAGTACCATGGCTCCTTTTCGGCAATCAAAGCACACAACTTTATTGATGATACATACAAATGTAGGCTTGGGTGGATGAGGTTACGTCAGTAGAGCACGTAGAAGGGGCGTGTACTTTTTGATGAACAGGTTCACTATCCATCAGCTCACGCAGAAGAAAAGAGTAAATGGAAAAGAAGTCAACCTAAGCAGCTACAAACTGCATTTTCAGCACAAGCTCCGATACCTGTCTGGTCTCCACCAAACAGTCCAGCTTACACACGGAGACCCCCACAGGCAAGGTGTCCCTCGTGACGCTATAATGTGATGTTCTTTATCGACAGCGGGCAGCTGAAATGATCCCTTTACCACAGGAAGGAGGCTGCAAGGGACTAATTTACTATGTGCATTGCCTGCAGACTGCAAAACCAAGAGGTTACTCAGAGCTCCGTGGGAACCCTGCCTGCCTGGCCGATAAGAGTGTGGTCCTCCTGTTAGCAAGTGTAACTTTCACCCCATGATGTGGTGATTGGCGAGGGCTGGACCTTCAGTAGCACCCACTGCAGATGCCTCGACTGAGAACACAAGGGTGTGTTCGCCCAACAGGTTTTGGGTGGATTCAGTCCCGTTCTGTTCGACATGGCCATCTAAGAGGCCAGGGTGTCCGGAAGAACCTGTCTGTTCCCGTTCCTGATAAAGAGGGATGTGAACGAGAGCAGCATTTGGGCACCCAGCAATTCCCCCGCCAAGACTGCCTTTTCAGACAAACCCACCAACGGTTTCAAAACCTGAACCTCAGCACATCCACTTCCCTCTGATATCAAAGGAAACTTCAAGTCTGAAACGGACTTGGCAAGCATGTTATTAATAACTGTCATGCTTATTAACAAATTTAATCCGGCCTGCTGCAGAAATGAGTTGCAGCAATGTGACACAGTCTCCCGACACACTTCATTGATGTACATCTTAATCGGGCCCTGTTTTTCAACACTCGCATTCAAGTTATCCAGGGCACAGAAAGCCTTCTCCTTAACAGCAGGGTCCGCTGTGGGGATCGTGTTTCCACCAATGGAGAGGCTGGCCAAGTGACTACTGATATCGTGGCTAAATGAAAAACCAGCTTCCTTGGGCTGAGCAAACAACATTTTTCCCTGAATGAAAGGATACTGGGAGAGGTCAAGAATACAACTGAAACATGCCCAGAAACTGATGATTGGATAAAGAAGATATGGTATATATACACAATGGAATACTACTCAGCCATAAAAAAAGACAAAATTGGCCCATTCGCAGCAACGTGGATGGACCTCGAGGGTATTATGTTAAGTGAAATAAGCCAGTCAGAGAAAGACGAACTCTATATGACTCCACTCATAGGTGGAAGGTAATATATTGACAAGGAGATCTGATCGGTGGTTACCAGGGAAAAGGGGGCGTGGGGGGAGGGCACAAAGGGGGAAGTGGTGTACCCACAGCATGACTAACAATAATGTACAACTGAAATCTCACAAGGTTGTAATCTATCATAACATTAATAAAAAATAAATTAATTAAAAAAAAGAATACAACTGAAATTTTTAATGACTTCAGCATTGCAACAAATGTAATTTTCATTCAGGAAAAGGTAATTCTTTATTGGGAAGTGTCCTCTTTGGGATACCCTTGGCACTTACTGCCCATGGTTCATGTCAGCCTTATCCTCAGGACTTTGCTTTTCCCGGATCTTTGACTAAAGACCAGAGCCCGTATCTGTTCTCCCCTGTCTGAAACTCCCTTCTCTTTTGCTCTTTTCTTACTGTGGTGAACCCTCCTCTGATTAGTGGGTAAACACTGTGTCAACTTCTAGCCCTGACCTTCAGACCTGTTTTCACTAATCACCAGTTTGAGCACATTCCACATCTATGACAAGTCACAGGAGGTTCTCCCTCTTGAAAAATCCATCTAGTTGTGGTGTTCTAGGAAGGAGATTGTTGGAAGTTCTTTTCCTGGACAGAAGATGTCCTAACCGCCATGTGACATGGACTAGGGGCAATGCAAATACATAGAGCTTTGATATTTGTCTCTGCAGATAAACACGTCAACAGTCAGGATAGAAGAGTATCAGTATTTCTCTTTCCTGACTTGGGACCTTAAGTTTTAAATATTTCTCCCTTGGTATTTACCTCCCTTAAGCTCATTCCTGCTGTTTCCTCAGACGTACAACATTTGACTTTCCTGGCACCAAAGTAAGAGAGGAAAAGAACAAAGGCTAGGAAAGGGAGAAGCTGAATTGCCTCTAGACTCTGTATTCTGACTCCTACATCCCTATCCTCACCCCTTATCTCCAGGATATCACACTGTGTGGAGCAATTTCCTTCCTCCCTTGCCTAGAGTTATGTCTACAGCTAGACAGATAAGAGACAATGGAGATTGGTAGATATACTGGCACGTAGGTGCACTCTCTCCAGAGTAAAAACAAATCTAGTTTTCAAATGTCTCCCATTTAGGTCTCAGGCACACCACCCACCCTGCTCTCCTACCACTTTCATCAGCCTGGCCCTCCTCCACAAATGCACCTTTTCCACTCCCCTGTCCCCCAGCCACTCTCTTGACCTTGCTCTCTCCCTTCAAATGCCCACTTTTCTGCTCTACCCCTCATTTCTGCTCCATAAATATTAACACTGCTTCCCCAGAGCCAAAAAGGATTGGATTGAGTAATGCTTTCCTGAAGACAGGATAAGAGTGGAAGAACAGGTTCTGTTTTCACACTTGCCTTTACCACCCCCTTATAACGGGTTCAGGCCCCACATTTCCTTGAAGAGACACTCACTTGGTTCAGTTTCTACTAAATATCCTATTATTTTCTTTCTCTTACTTTCTCTTGGATTGTGCCGCCCCCTGCAGACAGGCAAACAAACAAACAGATAAGGGTCAGTGAACATTTACTGCTGAGTGGTAGGCCACCATGCCTATCTTTTACTGATTCAGGGCTATGTCAAATGATTCTCAGCTCTCACTCCCAGATGCCAGCACCAGTTTTCCCCCCGACCCTGAGCCTCATTTAGAGAACTAAAATGAGCTGGTGGGTATCCTGGGGGTGTAGAGAAAGTTGACTCCATCCCTTCAGGTCTCCGCCCTCCGAAACCCACCCTGACTCCAAGAGACATTTGTTCCACACCAAAAGGTCCTTGAAATTTGGTTCTATCAAAAACACCCATGAGCATATTTGGTCCATGCCAAATGGTTCCTGATACTCAGTCTTAGCAAAAATGCCCATAAGTAGGGCTGGAGACATGAACAGACATTTCTCCGAAGAAGATATACTGATGGCCAATAGGCACATGAAAAGATGCTCATCATCGCTGATCATCAGGGAAATGCAAATCAAAACTACACCAAGATATCACCTTACACCCGTTAGAATGACAAAAATATCTAAAACTAATAGCAACAAATGTTGGAGAGGTTGTGGAGAAAAAGGAACCCTCATACACTGCTGGTGGGAATGCAAACTGGTGCAGCCACTATGGAAAACAGTCTGGAGATTCCTCAAAAAATTAAAAATAGAACTGCCATACGATCCAGCCATCCCACTACTGGGTATTTATCCAAAGAGCTTGAAGTCAGCAATCCCAAAAGTCCTATGCACCCCAATGTTTATTGCAGCACTGTTTACAATAGCCAAGACGTGGAAGCAACCTAAGTGTCCAGCAACAGACGAATGGATAAAGAAGATGTGGTACATATATACAATGGAATACTACTCAGCTGCAAAACAGAACAAAATCATTCCATTTGCAATAACATGGATGGACCTTGAGAGAATTATGTTAAGTGAAATAAGCCAGCGAGAGAAAGATAATCTGTGTATGACTCCACTCATATGAGGAATTTAAAATTATGGACTAAGAACAGTTTAGTGGATACCAGGGGAAAGGTGGGATGGGGGGTGGGCACAAAGGGTGAAGTGGTGCACCTACAACATGACTGACAAACATTAATGTACAATTGAAATTTCACAAGATTGTAACCTATCAATAACTCAATAAAAAAAAAAAAAAAAAAAAATGCCCATAAGTAGAAAATGTCCTGGGGTTCAAATAGGCCATAATGTTTACTTATACTTTTGGTTTATAGGATTAATACATAAAAAATACCATCATGTTTTATTGGTCCAATAATTGTACTATGGCTGTATTGCCAATAATAGCCCTTCTTGTCTCGGTGGCCTGGGTGGTAATGACGCATGGGGTTAGGTAGATGGGTTGGAGTTCAAATCTTGCGGAAGAGCAGGATTTACATTAACTACGCATACTGAGGAAGAGTCCTACAGTTAGAGAAATGCACAGAGGATGACAAGTCAAAGATGGGATCTCGCAATGCATGATGTGTTAATATGTCACTGGGCATTTGGATGGATGCGGCTGGGTCATCCAATAAGAGGAAAGTTTGAAAGGAGGAGCTTGGTCAAGCTGCTATGTAAAATGGGCAGCGAATGTGTTGATGTAAACACTTCACAGAGCTTCTGGCTCGTTTGGGAGGAATGAAAACCAGTGTGGCTCTCCTACTATATAGCAGTCACGTGTAACAGCCACCATGTGGAGGATACCAGGCATCTAATTAATCCCCCTAGAACTATCCCATTGCCCAGGGTTAATGGGTGATGTTTCCCTTGAATTGATGTCCTACAAAAGTAAGATCTGGGTAGACCTCAAGAAGCATCTGCTGCTATTTGGAGAATTGTTAGTGGGTGTGATTCCCACACTTACCTGCCAATCAGTGGTGAACCGCCACATCCTCAGCTGATGCCTACCCACTGGCTGATCCAGCCTGGCTGAACCAGGTATGAAATCCATAAGACATTAGTAAGGTTTTCCCTACCAGTAAACCAGTGACCATTGGTCAGACAGCTACAAAAGAAAAAATAAATAACCTTTCTTCTGTTGCTTGGCAATATGACATCTTTATTTGAAAATTCTCGGTGGAATATGGCAGAAATAGTATAGTCACAAAAAGAAAAGCCAATGCTACATTATAATGGTTTTTGTTACTATTTCTGTTCCTTTAACAGAGATAGGAGTAAAAGGCACTGGCGCTGTGAAGAGAGGAGAATCTGCAATGCCCAATGCACAACTAGTCAGGATCTGTGTAACATTACAATCATTCAAGATGGCACAGGGAAACATCAGTACAATGTTGCTGTTGAAGGAGAAGTAAAGAAAACCTGAACGGATTAAAACATCACGTAGAAGAACCAAATGCAAAACTATCACAGGTACTTTGAAGAACTCTCTGTGATATTCATAATGAAGAGGTCTTGTTAATGCTACCAGAAAGAAACTCATTAAAGATGCAAGTAAATGGAATTCAAAACAGACATCGACCTCCAAACTCAACTTCATTGCCTGGAATTGAAACTCCAGAGGAGAATAAAGGAACCGGATGCGCAAAACCATTCTTATGCAGATTCCAGTGCTCATGATGACGAAACAATTCTTACTTACACAACTTATGACAATATTTTGTATTTAAGTGCCGGTACCACATTATTCAGTGATGGTACCTTCAAGACAGCACCAACACAGTTAACTCAGTAATTTACTGTGCATGGTATGGTATTGGGTTATACTATGCCATTGATTTATGTATTAACATTGAAAAGGCAAGAAGATACTTACAGATATCTATATGAGAAAGTACTTGCATTTGCACGGGAAAGAAATTTTGACATTAACCCTTCATTGTGCATGATGGATTTTGAGATTTCAAATATGAATGCGATTCAACTACTCCTACCAAATGCACAAGTAAAAGGATTCTTGTTTCATTTTTCACAATCACTGTGTTGAAAAATATCTTTTTGGGGTCTAACATGAGAGTATGACAATGAAAAGTAACACTTATAAGTGTGCATCAATGTTGTTTGGACTTCCATTTGTGCCTTTGGAAGATGTTAATGAAACTTTTGAGTACATTGTGCGGAATGCAGAAGGAAACTTAGATGACCTAATGGATTATGTTGTGAGAGTGTATGTCCCTGGAAGGCATGGCAGAGGCGGAAGAAGACAAGAAGCTCCAAGATTTCCACTAGAAACTTGGAATGTTTATATAGCAGTACTGAATGGTGATCACAGGATGAACAATGCAGTGTAAGGCTGGCATAGAAAATTTCAAAAGCTGATGGTAGTGCATCATCATTTAATCTGGAGATTTATTGAAGAGGTAAAAGAACAGCAATAAACAAGTTATCACCCAGGTTTTCAGTGGTCACACTCAAATACAGCCACCAACTTCACAATGACACTGACAAAATCAAATTCGTGTAACTGAAACTGTTGATGGATATAACAAATATAAAGCCAATAATCGGATCAATACATACTTGAGAGCAATTGTTCATCGACTTAAGAGTAACCCTACCAAACTTCATGACAAGGAAGAACAAGAACAAATGTGAAATCCCAAATTCATAATGAACTACAATAAAAAATAACAAAAATAAAATTTTAACGAAGTTAAATGTTTGTATTATTTAACTAATCATGGACCAAATGTCTCAATGGACATTTTGGACAGGACCAAATTTCAAGACTTTTTGGCAGAAGTAATATGTGAAGAAATAATGGTTGAGAATTTTCTGAACTTTCCAAAACACCAAGCCACATATTCAAGAAGCCCTTCAAATCTCAAGCAAGATAAATTTTAAAA